TTTCACAATAAAAATAAAAAAAATAAAATTGTATTTTATAGAAATGTCATTTCTTTCATGATTTTCTTCTTGATACTGAAAAGCTACTGATTTTGTATAGTGCTTTTGTATCATGCTACTTTGCTAAATTGTCATCTCTCATAATATTTGATTAAGTCTTTGAGCTTTTACATACAGAATTATGTTATCTGTAAATAGAAGCAATTTGGTTTCCTTTCTGTTTTTTATGTCTTTCTCTGGTGGAAATGCTCTGGCTAAGTGTTCTCCTACTATATTGAACAGAAGCAGTGGGCACAGACACACTTGTGTTGTTCCTGATCTTAGTGGAAATGACTTCAGTTTTTCCAAGTTCAGTATGATATTGATTATAGGTTTTCATAAATATCCTTTTATTATATTGCAGTATGACCCTCGTATATCTGGTATGCTTCAGGTTTTTATCATAAAGGGATGTTAGATTTTGCCAGCTACTCTTTCTGCATCTGTTATGATGAGTGAGCTTTGTCTTACCATGTAGCTCAGGTTGGCCTTAAACTGAAGATTCTCCTGCCTCAGCCTCCTGAGGACCAGGATTACAGATGTATACCACTACACTCTGCTTGGATCCTATGATTTTTATCCTGGATCTGTGATGTATTGTATTTGTTGATTTGTGTATGTTGAACTGCCTTTGCAACCAGGAACGAAACCAACTTCATCACTGTGTGTGATCTTTATGCTATGTTGTTAATTGCCAGTATTTAGTTTTGCAAGGTTGACTACTGTTACCTATAACTGGACACGGTAGTGAAGTCTTATTATAGCCTCTTGTGGAAGGGTTTCAGTCATAGTAGATATGAGATCCAGCTGACACAGTTCTGGGTACCTGTCAACAGGAGATAAAGACAGCAGACCAAAGAGACATTCCCGTCCAGGTTAATGGAAGCGCTGTTCACAGCAGCTAAGATAGGAAATGGGCCTCTGTACCCGTCAACAAGTGAATGGAGGAGGAAATGTGTTGTGCATCACAATGGAGTATTATTATCCTGCCAGGAAAGAATGAAATCCTGACATTTGTCGCAGGGTAGAGGGAGCAGAGGATATTATGTTGGTAAAATGAGCTGGACACAGAAAGACCAGAACCACGCGTTCTCTCTCATATGTGCAAGCTGAAAAAGTACATCTGAATATGAACTCATGACTGCTAGAGGCTGAAAACTGGAGGAACTGAGAAGGGAAGGAGGGGAGAAGGTGGATTTCTCAGTCCATGTTCTACGCATGCTTGTGACTGTCACATCATACCCAGTTAACATGTATACGTGTAAGCAAAAATAAGTACAAAGCTACAGCTATTAAGTGTGGCATTGGTAAGAATAGTACATTAATAAATTCAATATATATATTTATCTAGTTAATTTTCAGTGTATTTGCAAAGGCAGTTCAGCAGAAAAAAGAAGACAACCCTTTTTTAAATAAATTATGCTAGATCAATATGATTTCATTTTAAAAAAAGCAAAACAACAAAAAACCCCACTCCTATACAAAAGTCAATTCAACATGAGGTATCGACTAAATACTAAATTCAACAGTATCAAACATTTATAAGAAAACATGGAGTGGAAGGAAATCTTTTTATGGCTTTGGATTTGGCAGAGATTTCTTAGGCTGCCCAAAACAACAATCCACAAAAGAAAAATTAAGTGAAGGTTGGGATGAAAATATTCAAAAGCTGCCTTTGGTTATGAATTTTTTTAAAGGAAAGAAAGCAAAAAACAGAGCCTGGATATGTACCTTATAAAGGGCTATCTAGAACATCTACAGAATATTTAAAATAAAATACAAAATGTGAATAAAAGCAACTTACAAAATGGGCAAAAGATGCTGATTCTTTATCACAGGAGATACAAAGACTGCCACACATGCACACTGGGAAACATCTGATATCATAAACCACTGGCTCAGAGTTACTCAGGAGGCTGAGATCTGAGGATAGAGGTTCAAAGCCAGCCTGAGCAGAGAGGTCTATGAGATTCTTATCTCGACCATTAAAAAGCCAGAAGTAGAGCCACAGCTCAGGTGGTAGAGTACCAGCCTTGAGTAAGAAAGCTAAGAACAGCACCTAAGCCCTGAGTTGAAATCCCAGTACTGGCACAAAAAAGAAATTAAGGATATCAATAAACAGCTAACAGATAAAGGGGAAAACCTGACAACAGCAAATGCTGGTGAAGATGTGAGAAACTGCAACATTTCATACATTGCTGGATAAAATCCAAATTGGATCCCCATTTGAACAAAGAGGGTATAGGTACTTAGGACATTAAAGCCACAAATAATCCGGCAATTCAATCCTACAGGGAGGTATCTGCCCAAGAGATATAAAATCATGAAACTGGGCATGCCTTGATATCCGACCTACAAGCTCGCTGCTGCAATCCTAGCTACACAGGAGGCTGAGATATGGGAGATTGTGGGTTGAACCTAGCTTGGGCAGAAAAGTCCATGAGATTCTATCTCCAATTAACCAGCTGCAAATAAATAATAAAACTCTGAGCTGGAGAGCTGGGAAGGTGGCTCAGTGGTAGAGTGCTTGCCTTGCAAGCATGAAGCCCTGGGTTCGTCAGTACCACATAAACAGAAAAAGCCAGAAGTGGCACTGTGGCTCAAGTGGTAGAGTACTAGCCCTGAACAAAAGAAGCTTAGGGATGGTACCTAGGCCTTGAGTTCAAGCCCCGTGGCAAAAACAAAAACAAAAATCAAACCTCTGGGCTGGAGACATTGCTCAAGCAACAGATTGCATGAGGCTTGGATTTCAAATCCTAGTATGGGAAAAAAAAGTGAAAGAAAACAAAGAAATCACAAGTGCTTTTTTTTTTAAAGTAGTATTAGGATTTGAATTCAGAGCACTTGACTGCAAAGCTGGCGTTCTACCTAGGAGCCATGTGTCCAGTCCTGTTTTTCACCATCTATTTTTAGGATATGGTCTTACTTCTCACCTCAGGGAGTGACTAAATCAGGATTCACCTACATTAGGTATTGAAAAGGTGGGGAGTGGGCTCCTGGGGAGGGGAATACAGTCATAAAACTTAATGCTATCCTAAAACGTTAAGAAAATTGAGGGGAGGGATAGAGTTGGGAGGGACAAGCATATAAAGAGTGAGACCCATCATGATCCGCATTGATTGCTTTCATAAACTGGTTTGTTGAACAGTAATGCCTTTGTACAACTACTTACACTACAGATAATTTAAAAAATAACTAAAAATTAGCAAGTGCTTGCTATGTCCACACCAAGTAATTTACATAGTAATGAATATTCATAAGAACCAATATGCTTATATGTCTATATTATATATACCTATAATCCTAGCTACTCAGGAGGCTGAAATATGCAGAATGGCTGTTCAAAGCCAGTGGGGGCAGAAAAGACTACAAAATAGCCAGCAAAAAAACTAGCCTGGTGGTGTGGCTCAAGTGTTAGTGTGCCGGCCAAGTGAGCAAGCAGCAAGCTGAGGCCCTGATTTCAAACCCCAATACGGGGCGGGGGGCATATGATTACAGCTTTGTGTAAGCCCCAAGTCAGTAAGAGAAAAGCATTTAAAGTAGTAAAGAATTCCTGAGGAATCCTTCAGAGAATCACTTGCCTGAACTATTGGTAGATGTGTGCCCTAATCCTAACTCAGGAAACGGATTTTGGTCTAAAACACCAGGCAAAAGAATGGAACTATATCATCAGTTGGACAGCAGAGAACAGTGCTGGCGGCTGAAGGCCTTTCCAGCGCTCCCAGATGCAGATCCCAGGATGCACAGATGCGCCTGCGGGCCGTGGCTGCGCAGGTGTGTGCGTGGACGTCCCCAAGGAAAAGACAAGGCGACAGCATATGCCTCCCGCCTTCCTCCGGGGCTCCACACCTTACAGGGTTCTGGTGTTCTCTCACCCTTCCCCAGTTTTACCTCATCCCACAAGCCTCTGATGGAATCTTTGAGAATACAAACCAAGATACCCAGAGCTCTGAGATTTCCCAACCACATAGCTCCAAAATTGCTTCCCAAGTGGAGACCTGGTAGATAACCAGTTGTGGGTACATGCGGCTAGATGTGAGGGCCAGCCGAGGGGATGGATTGGTGAGTGGGTGGCTGCTGGGGGATGGGAGGCCGGCCGGACGGCCGGCGGGCTGGACGGGTGGATAGGTGGGTGCACGGGGGGATGGCTGGCTGGCTGGGCATCTGAGACGCTCCAAGGCCCCGTCCATACACAGACCCCGCAGGTCTCCAAAGGGGTGGAAGAGAGCCGGGTTTCCCACGCTTCCGCTCTCTGGCAATGAATTAAGCCCAGATGAAAGCAGCCATCGGCAGAGCCGCGCGGACACCCGCGCCCAGGGCTGACCAACGCCACTAAGGAGCGATGCGGACGGCGGTCTCCAGGTGTAGGTGGAGGGTCCTGGGCGCTGGGGTGGGGGTGAGGGGCGCGGGGACTCTGGCGGTGTCCGGGTGCCGCAGGCCAGGGCGGCTGGCGTCCGCGGCAGGGCCCTGCGGGCGGGAGGAGGGGCTGCAGGTG